TATTATCATAGGAAAATGAAAAATTTTTTAAAATTTGATTCTTTTCTTTATTATATGGAATTGCAATAATTCTTATAATAAAATTTTTACATACTATAGTAAAGCCTTTATATAGTAAATAATTATCAAAAGAAAAAGAAATTATATTAAGCAAATGATCCCTTCCTTTAAAAAAGATGGAGTAAAGAATTATCTTTGATATTGAAATCTCACAAGTCATTGTGAAACCACAAAAAAAATAGAAAAATTTGAATAATAAAAGAAATAAAGAAATTTCTGATTTACAAATCCAAATGCAAGGATTTTATGAAAACAGTGTTTGACACAGAAGAGAATTTTCTTAATAAGTTCAAGCAATATTTCATGAAAATAATAATTTAGTAGAATGGTTGAAATGGTCCAAATAAAATCAATTTATTATATATTATTGATGAGAAAATAGATAAAAAATTTAGAATAACCTTACTTTTAAACTGAAAATTCAAATCATATCATACATAATATAAAATATCAATAAGACAAGTTTTAATTCAGGGAAATAGTTACAATACTGCATACTGCAAGCATTGAAAATATGATAAAACATTAACAACCCTACTGTCATGGCCCAGTTGTCTACCAAAATCATTAAGAAATATAGCACGGATTAGTTAATTACCTTTTTATAAGAATGGAACCTTAAGAAAAACCTAGAGCTGAGCGAGAGCACTGTGAATAAACTGCAAGAACAAGAAGTAAATGGGAACGACTTTCTTGAGACAAGTATTAGGAGAAAATTGAGGTAGAGTGAATAGAAACTTTTATAATAATTCTAAACTCATTTTGGAACTGGGATGAAGCCACTAGTCTTCATAAATTTTTGAAATATTAAATTATTAAATCATTAATTTTAAAACTTTTTAATAGTAAATGATGAACTATTATTAAATAATAACAATTATTATTGATATCAATAATTATACTTTGAAAATACTAGAACATAGTAATGGATTATTCCCTAATTTAAAAACTTTATCATGATTTTTTTTTTATGCAAAAAACTCCTTAAAAAAAAAAGAAAAATAATCATGCTCCAAAAAAAAAATAATAGAATAATTCTCTCACTCTTCTCTATTGAAAATATTAAATAGTTCAGAATGATCAAAATATAGGATAATATTTTTTTGAACTTAAATCTACCAAATTTCCATGCTCATTTCCTATTGATATTATGCATTTATTCTTTGAAAATATATCTATAAATATGTTTAAACATTGGATTGGAATATTTTTCAATAAGCAATTATTAAATGGTGAACAATATATTCTTAATAGTTAAATATTCTCTTTGAAGGCAATAATTATGTAAAATGGTTTACAATTAAATATTTCACTTTAGATTATCAAATCTGTGGAACCTACTTACATTTGTGCAACATTGATAAAGAATTTTTTCTTATTTAAGAACTCATTTTTTCTTTTTTCATTTTCCTCACTCTTTCACAATATTCTTGCACAACTTTTTCAAGTGTTTCTGACCTCTTGCAAATCTATATTTTATTCTCCTAAAAATCAACATGACTTTCTGTCATTCTAAACTTCTAACAAAAAATCTCAAGCACGTTTTAAAGCACTAAAAGCTGCTCATAAGTCAAAGGTCTAACAACTCAAAGTTGGGTATTATATATGCAAGGTTCTTGAGATATTTCTTAAATGGGAATAGCGTGCAGATGGGGTTTCAGCCTTATGTTACAGTTCTTAAACAGTTGATTTTATCAGCTCACAAATGGTGGGAAGAGATTTTTTTTTTAAATTGTAAAGCAATACCAAAAATTGACAAATCAGTCATTACCCTCATGATAAAGTATGTTGATTCTGAAATCTATTTTAATTTTCAAGTAAATGTGAATAATTTAAATTATAATCCCATAAATGCTGCTTTTTTTGATTTGAAGAAATTAGTTTTTAAAAAAAAAAATTAGTGTATTATCATGATATAATTTACAAAATATACTATAATATGGCAGGATAATACAAGTTTTGCCAATGATAATTGGAATGTTCTTTTACCAGAGCATATAGAAGACCAAATACGAATAACATGAAGTAAGGGGAGGAGATAAAAGATGTAGTATAATTAATTATGTTAAAAATTCATAACTGTATAATAAAGAGATCAAAGTATTAATGAGCATTATGAATATGTTTTACAACACAAATATCTGTTAAAGGAACAAAAATATCTACCTATTACTTGAATATGATAATGTATTTCAACAATTTATTGTTCTATACAGTATATTTGACATAATATATATTAAGAAAGTCTCTGGTAAAGCCTTCCTTTGTTTAACTAAAGAATAACTTACTTGTGTTCCTGACACCTTTCATCTAGACTTTACAACAGCTTCAGCAATCACAGAATTGGTTAAACCAATATAATTTTATAGATAAACATTATATACTATATATCTTCTATCTACCAAAATTTAATATACTATCTGTTAACCATATTATATTTTCAATGCATGATCTTTGGGACGAATTGATCAAATACCTTCATGTGGAGAACAATATGTATTGAAATTTTTAATTTAATTATAAGCTACTGCTGTAGTCAGACTATTTGGAGCAAACTTACAGGATTTTGAACATCACGCATATGAATTTCCATTGTACTGTGTAATGCTCCTGCAACATTCTGATATACTATGTAAAAAATTCTTTATGGAATTAAGAAAAAGTTCAGCTTATTAAAGAATAAAATATCATGCTAGGTTTTTACAAAGCTAAAGGATATGATGGAATAGAATTGAATAAAGTAGCAGACAAACTTAAAAAAAGAGGTGGAAAGAACAGATAGACATTTTAAGAATAGTTCACTTAATGATATTATTATTTATTTAAAAATATTTGAAAAACATTCACAATGTTTGACAGAAATAGTGAATTTTAAATATTATAAAAGATTACAGTATTATAAGAATTTTTCTGAGTCTGAAGAGAATCAAGCCGAACATGACACTGATTATAATATTATACGAAAATTAAATTAAAAATTAAAATTAAAACTATTAAAATTATAGAGAAATAAGAATTATATATAACTAGTTTAATTTAAGAAAAAAAAAAATTAGAGAAATGAAATAAATGTAAAAAAAAAAAAATGAATTATGATAAGATGTTTGATATCTAATAAGGGTTTATTGTATATTAATTAATTAATTGTAAAGTGGCATACATGATATAAGTGTAAAAGATATCCAAGAAATACATATAACAACCACAAAAACTTATGAAAAACTGTTCTCCTCCTTCTTATTATATTCATTTTATTTAATATATCTCCATTTGTCTCTTAAAATCTCTCTGACTCTCTCTTCTCTTTATTTTGGTAATTTCTTATTTTTATCTATTTTTTTAACTTTTCACATCTTATAATCCAAATTCCCTTTAATGTTGTGATAACTTTTTAGATAATACTTTTAAGATGACTACTTGTTCTTCTTTATTGGACCCTATATTAAATTTACAAAATGTTCATATTATTTAATTTTTCTTTATACTTCTGAATTAACTTCATTACTGAAGCTTGATAATTTTCTTTTCTTACATTATTGTACTTTTACTCTTTAAATTTTATTATCATTCCAGTGTATATTTCCATTTTGAAGTGTTGCAGCAAATTATTTTAATACTTCCAAATACATACATTTCACAAGAGATGCTGTCAAAAAAAAAATATTTTCAAAGACTTTTTCTTCTAAAAAGCTGTTCAAAATAATGAAATCATAAAATAATGAACAATAATAAGAAATATATGTTACCAAAAAAAAAAAGTCCTGGTCAAAATAAGATTATGAAAAGATATTCTAAAAAAAACTTAAGATATTAATTATGATCTTATTTCATTAACAAAATTAACAAAAAAAAAAATTGAAGTATTTAAATTTAAATATAATCAAGTTTGAAATATAAGTTTATATACTGTAAATAGTAGAATATTTAATATAATACTCAAAATTTTTTTTAAAATTTTTTTTATTCGTGTCTTATTTTACTCCTTGATTATACTAGTCGTATTTACTCGCGTTCCTCTGTATTTCTTTTATTATGGATTCACACAAAAAAACAAAATTTTAGCAAAATCATAAATCATAATAATACGGCGAATAACAAATTTACATTAATCATCAAAAAAATTCATATAATTTTAATTCATAATATTATTATAAAATATTATTTGATTATTTGTTACAAAATTACCACAACTTTTTTTTTTTATATTAGTTCATTAGTTGAAACAAGAAAATAATAATAGAATAACTAAACATTATGATAATTGTTATTATTTAAGTAAATAATCTATTCTTTATAATAAACTTACAATAAATTCGTGTAACTTGAAAAAATTTGGTTTAAGATGAAAAGTTTATTTAAAATACGCAGACTTCACTAATTTGGTTGAGTTATTTCTGGATATGGTAAAATATTATTTTGTTATATATTACATAATATTAGTTGGTCCCATATTATACTCCGGATTAAACTATACCCATAAGGGATGAAACAGCCACGGTCATAGCTAGTCATGACAAGTCATGACTATGATAATCAGTCAGTCTTCCAGGCTTCTCATCAAACTATTTGACCGATCAACTATCAAATTAAATTAATAAAAATTAACAGTCAAGATTATCAATCAAATGATCAATCTAGTTAGTCGAGATTTCTGTCGTCATGACAGACCATGACTCTCTATATCATACAATTAATTGCTAATAGACTATTGTACGTACATTGTACAATTAATCAGGATCTGGAAAAGAAAATGAAACCTATTTTATACTTTGGATAGTATAATAAACAAAATTAAGCCAAATCAAGTGAACAAAAGATTAATAATTTATTCATCTGTTGCATCTTTAAAAAAGTACCATCTTAAAATATGCTTGAAGTATTTCTTTTTATTATTAATCTTGTAATTACTTTAAAAAAAGAATAAAAATTAAAAAGTTGTTGTAAAATGCAACTAGCCTAATTATATACCATCCAATATACCCTGAATTTAGTCCTTCTGACTCTTCTGGTTGAGATATAGAACCTCAAATGGCTTCCCTGAGACTATTGATGTTAATCAACAATATCGTACTGGTTCCTACTATTTTTGTTCCGTATATTATCAGCTTGAGTAATCTAAATAGAAATTGTAAATATAAATACTTACCATTTCCTTCTCTAATTTAATTTTCTTATTAACATGAGAGTGAACATTTTCCTATTAAGTAATAAAAAAATAAAAAAAATTAATTTTTTATAAGTTTTGGAATATAAAGAAACGAGATTAAATAAAATTTTTCTTACCTCTTCATTTAAATCAAAATTTCGTTTGTTTGAAATAAATTTAGATTTATAAGTTGGATAAAAATCACTAAATAAAGAAAAATTTCTTTTACTAATATTTTCCATGAACCAATTATCATCCTCCGGTTCACGTTCCTTATTAGCCCATAACATTTGAACTCGAGGATGTAAATAAAATTTTTTTGGTGGTTGATCATTCAATTGCTTATCTTGCCTAATTTTTGCTAAAATATCATTTTCTAACTTTTCTTTAATATATTTCATTTTTTCAGCTTTTCTTCTTGCAGATTTCTCTTTCTCATTCTTATCTTTCAATTGTTTTTTGATTTTAATAAGTGCCTTATAAGCTACATGAAGTTTTGCTAAAATTTTTGTTGGCATTTGATCAGAAAATTCAATATTATCATTAAATTTTAATGTACAAAAATAAGAATTTAAAAAATTATCATAATAAAATTTGTATTTTGGAGGTTTTTTTAAATCTTTTTGATTAGCGAAATAAAATTTTTCCAAATTATATATTGGACCAGGACTTGATAATAAATAATTATAAGGATTTGTTGAAGAAGGAAAAGCCACATCAATAAAATCTTTAAGATTTTTCTTTAAATCTTCTCTTTTCATAGATAAAAATTCATCAGCAGAAGGTTTCTTTAAGAGTGAAGATGAAGGTTTAGAAAATTTTTGACGTTCAAAAATATCCACAGGTAAATGAACCATTACGGGAGCACCAAGAGATTTAAGAGTAAAATTTCGTTCACTATCCTAAAATAATTATTTTTTATATAATAAATGAACATTAATGATCAAGTCAAACTTTTTATAAAACATTTTATAAAACATTTTATGAAAAATAATACTTACAACTTCATCATCCTCAAATAAATATAAACTTTCGCAAAACTCGGAAGAAGACATATTCTTTATTATTAAGTTTAACAAGTGAAGTTATAGCAAAAAAATATATATGTATACTTTTTTTTTTTTTTTTGATGAAAGATTGTGAGAGTGTGAGAAAGTAGAAAAAAATTAGAAAAAGGAATATTATATAAATGAAATTATTATCGCCGCAGTAAGAATTACTCAATTAAAAAACTTATAAAAATGGAAAATCAATGTGACACCAATGTAGCTTATTAGTAATTATTTTATCACTATACTATACAAATAAGATTTTAACATTAATATTTATTTATTGTTTTAACAATTATAAATATTATATTATATTACAAACGTTACTAAAACAGTTTATTGAATATTGAATATAAATCTATAAAAGCAAATTTGCGTCATATTTGTTTTTATAGTTGGTTTTATTGATTTTATTGATAAGAATAAATTTTTTTTTTTTTTTTACGAATAAGAAAAAATTGTCTCGACCGCAGTATTTATTAGAATAATTTGATTTGAAATCAAATTGTTCTCAATTGTTCTCGTACGATATTAAATATATTATCATGATATCATTATTTAAGATTCTTTTATACGGTATGTGTTACATAACATATCCACATCACCTTATCTTTCTTTTGCGACTATAAATAGTAAGTCTCTATATCTTGGGAATTTTCATAATATAGTTATCATTATAGGATCTGATTTAAAAAAGAAAAATGATATCCGTTCTTAAATGTATAATATATGAAATAGCTGTTTTTTTGTTAAATAAAGATATTTTTTATTCTCGATTGAAATAAGAATCCAATATTTCTTCAAGCTGAAAACATAAAGAAGTTTTTTTGAAGGTATCAAATTTCAAAAGTTTTATTTTTAGCGAGGAAGACATGGTTATTTATAAATAACTGGGTTAGTGGGCTGGGCTCAATAATATTTTTAAAGCATCTACATGTGCACTACACTACACTTACGTTCGAATTTGATCAAATGACTTAACGTCACACCGATAATCATGTGAAGCTAAATTTGTCAATGGTTGAACAAAATTATCAAATATATAAAACAAGATTTTATATCTATATTAGAGATGATAGTTGCGAAATTTCAATTTCATTTATATATATTATTATTTAATTAATTTTAACGAAGAGATAGATACTTCGATAGCACCAAATACTGTACATACTGTAGCTAATATGTTTCTTATTTTACGTATTAGGTATCAATTTCGGTTATGTACCAATCAAAAATATTCATATCACGCCTACAGGCTTATTCAATACTCGTCCAACATAATGAACATATATCGTGTTTGAATCACAAACGACGTTAACGTAAAAAAAAATTCTTTAAAAGACAATTTTCCATTACCTTAAGGAACTAGTTCCAACTCACTTTAACCAATTTTTTATTTATTAATATTATGCACTAAAGTAATTTAAATTTAACTTTTAAAAAATTAAGCAATTAATAATCTCGTTGAATTTCTAATACATTTCCCCAAGTTTTATTGTTAATAAATAATCAACAATCAATATTAACTTGAAATATAAGGATTCGTAATTATTTACGGCTCTTAACTTATTTTAATTTTATGAATAGCTTACGCATAAAATTACATCGTCACTATGACAGTTCTTATCCTTGTATGGTGTCGTTAAATTGTTGGTGAAAAGTAAATAAATAGCGTCCAAGATCTAAAAAAATCTAAGTTAATTAGATAAATTCTATAAAAAACCACAAATAACTTGATAAAATTACTTTTTCTACTTATTTTCCTATTTAAAATATAAAAAAATTAATTTAATGAAGTAAAAAAAAAAAAATTTTTATAAATACGGTAATAAATATTTTCATATTTTATTGCATCCAAATGGTTAGCATGGTTTTAGTGTGTTATCCAGTGTAAAATAAAATTGATCTAGTATAAAAAAAAATACTTATTTAATTACAAAATATTTTGCAAGTAAAACTCATTGAGGTATACAAACTATTTATGATATAACCTACAGTCTAACCTTATTTTGTTTTCCCACTATATGTGAGGACATATAAATATCGGTATAACTTTGATATAATGATATTTTCTAAAAATTTCATATACATATCGTTATATAAAGGTTTGACTGTATTTGAGTTTTAAGCTATATAATTTTATTATAGTTTATTTACCTATAAAAGAGCAAGTTGTGATTTCTTCTTAAAAAAATATCATTTGCATTTTGCAATATCAGATGCATGAGATTTATATATCGTAATTAATTATCATATCTTTCACTATTGATATAGGTTTGGGCGCTCATTATATCCTCACCTTTTACAAATTACATCTTCTTGAAATTAATGATCTCTCTATTACAAAAAACTTCAGTTAAAAAAGAACTTGGCACTAAAATTAATTATTTTACAGACTTTATTCTCTTTATAATGAATTATTAAATAATTGGACGAAAATAACAAATGAAACATTAAATTTCAAATTATTATCTTAAAAGATATGTTTCAAAGCGACATAATTTTTATTTCAAATTTTTTAAAATATTTAACTTATTACAATTACACTTGTTATTTTTTTAATAATATATATAATTCCTTAAAAAAAAAATATATTACCGTGATACAATTAATTTGATTGTCAATTTATTAATACCTTTTTTATCCTCATTTATAATATACCAATTTTTTTTTTTCAAACGTGAAATTCCCCTTTTTACAAAAAAATATTTCCAAATATAAAATATACTGTAATAATAAATATAAATAATGAAATTCAAATAGAATCTGAATTTAATAAATTAAATTTTTCTGACAATGATTTAAATTCAGAATATATCGATCATAATAATTGTAAACCGTGGTGTAAGGAATGTGTTCCTCGTTGTTTGATTGAAGAATGGACTAGTGGGAATAATGATATCGATGAATTTATTAAGGATACAATTTATAATGCAAAATATGCAAAATATGATAAGAATGTTGATAATCATCCATTATTTCTCGAATGGGTACCATTTGATAGATTTGAAGATGTAAAGCAAATTGATGAAGGTGGATTTGCCAAAGTATACTCTGCAACTTGGATTGATGGCGAAGCTAAATATTTTAGACAAGATGATGGAACTTGGAAAAGAAAGGAATCTAAACCTATAAAAATAGCTTTGAAAATATTAAATGGATAGCAAAATATTTCGAATGAATATTTAAATGAGGTATATTTTTTATACAAGTATTTTTTAAAATTAATTCTTAGTAATAGTTAAAATTAATTATTTAAATTTGAATTTATATAACAGCTCAAAATACATTGGAGATTGTACAATTCAGCCACTGGTTCTTTGAAGCTTTATGGAATAACCAAAGACCCACAAACAAAAGAATTAATTATGATTACACAATTAGCAGAACAAGGAAATTTGAGATGTGTTCTTTCAAGTCATTTTAATAATATTTTTTGGAATAAGAAATTAGCTTTTGTGTGTAATATAGTATACGATCTTAAATCTTTACATAATTTAGGATATTTTCATAAAGATTTTCATAGTGGGAATATACTACGAGGTGTTACTACTTATATTTCAGATTTTGGATTATCTGGATCATCATCAAATGAACAAAAATCAGATGATAAAATATGCGGAGTATTACCATATATTGCTCCAGAAGTTTTGAATGGATAACCATACACATTATCTTCTGATATCTATAGTTTTGGTGTAATTATGGCAGAATTATCATCTGGAAAACCTCCTTTTTATAAAAGGAAACATGATTTAAGCTTAACATTAGAAATATGTAATGGAATCAGACCTGAATTTGGAAAGGGAACTCCTGAAATTTATAAGAATTTAGCTTATAGATGTATGAATGCTAATCCTGATCAAAGACCAACAGTCAGTGAATTAAATGACATAATAGCATTTTTGTTAAATTCTTATGATGGTTACTATAAAGAGGCAGAAAATTTTGGTTATAAAGGAAAGGAAATTAAGGCCATATTTGAAAAAGCTGATAAAGAGATACCAAATATTTCAACTTCATATGAAATAAATCCTGATGCAATATACACTAGTAGAGTATTTACATTTAGTAATTTGCCAAAACCCATCAATTCATCTATTATTACTTCATACCTTGATGAAGATAGTAAAGGTAATGTTACTTTTATGATGATTTGAGTAAATCCACAACTAATAATTTTTTATTATTTTATAGATTGTCAAGATTCTAAATTATTTGATTTAGAAGTTTCTAACTGATTATAATCAAAATCAAGCATAGTTTATTATGTTTATTACAAATAATTTATATATATTTATACTAAATTTTGTTCATTTTAATATAGTCAAAACAAATATTTCGATATTTATGGAATTTCAATTTATTATCTCATATTTTTTGTATTTTTGTTTATGAGATATATTCATTTAAATTATTATATATTTTATGTACATTATACTAAATTTTTCATTATAATAAAATAACAATTTAACAAATTATATATAATAAAATGCTTATAATTATATTGTGAATTTATGAAAAAATAATTCATAGAAAAAAATGAAAATAAATTTAAAATTTACGTTATTTAATTTAATGATAATGGAATTTTTACAGTAACTATATAACATTTAATTCCGAATTATGACGAAGTATGATGAAAACAAGTTAGCTATAATGAGTATAATTTATAAATAAAAACTTAAGTAATTGAATACTTGTAAAAAAATTGATTTCTTATTGATTTTCATTTTTATGTCAATGAATATTTAGGATAATTTATCTCATCATTGGCAATTACTCAGATAGAAGTATGATTCATTTTATTCACTTTTGATAAACTAACATATAATATAAATTTCAATATTAAAATAATTTCCACACTGAATTATCCTTTTGCAGTTAACTAATATATTATTAATTATTTTTAATAATGAATATTCAGTGTAATTTTTATTGTCAAAATTGCATCGAAATACATTAAATTAATATGTCATTTTTTGCGTAGTTTTCAAATTGTTCCATTTGCATTAGTCTTTAATTCCATTTATTTTAGATGTTATGTATAATTTTTGAAAAAAAAAGAATCTTACACCTACTATTTTTTTACATTTGTAAATTAAAACATTTGATTAAGTAGTTTATTATACCTGATATGTCATATGTATTGAATATTAGATCATAAATAATTACTAAGATTGATATCACGCATGTCATTAAATTTGCACCATATTACCGTGTATCAATTGTATCATGACATATAATATATAAAAATTTTGAAGGAATTGATTGAGATCTTGTAATTATAGATATTCTATACGGACGTCACACGTTAATCACCAACCTTCCATAAAAAAAACGTGGTGAGATAAAAGATCAAAGTTTAAAGGGCAATTTAATTCCTGAGCCAAGTTAACTGACAATATTAGTAAATAATGGTAGAACTTGGACTCGAATCAGGATGAGTCAACTCGAGTAAAACGAGTCAAGAATTTTTTTGACTCGAAGAGTACTCGAGTCCAGGACTCGAGTCAAAGTTAAAGTGCGGGCCAAAAAACTTATCCATAATTTTACCCAGGCCGTATAGTCATAGTGCCGGCAGGAATTACAAATAGGGTTCAGCCGGCACTATCAACCACGTGATCCCGGTTGACTCGAGTCAAGAAATTTCTGAATCGAGTGCGAGTCCAAGCTCTAAATAATGACATTAAAGTTATTGTAAAATATATATAATTACAATTCAAATAAAAAGATTATTATTAATATTAATACTCATTAAATATTGACATTCATTACTAAATTACACCTCGTATCTTTTATATTTCATTATATCGATTTATTAAATTGATTTAGCAAATAAATTATTTTTATTTTAACTGCTATTTTTAAAATGTGTTATAGTCAATTTATTTGATTTATAGTACTTATAATTCATCGGAAATGGTTTTAAATATCTTACCATATAATTTAATATTTGTATTATTCTGAAAAATTTGGTCTTAATTAACGTTACAAATACATCCTTTTCATTTAATGATTTATTAACCATAATAATTCTTACAATGTAAAAGACAATGATTAAACAAATCTTACAAATATTAGATAATAAGAGAGAAATTTATGTTTTTAAAGAATGAATTAAGTTTAAATTCAATCTATATTTCCAAAAATTCGGACGCTTTTATATAATTTATACTTTTTACTTATTAGGATTATTATGATTGAGTAACATTAGTTTAATTATTCCAAAGTATAACAATCTATACTAAGGTGATACAAAATGTCTCCGTTGTCTGATTCTTGTTGGGCTTATGATGGTTACCATTTTCTAGTATAATAAATAACTTTAAATTACGGTATCTCAATTTAATAATATTTTAAGAGAGAAATCTCAAATAACTTAATTTAAAATATTATTCATATGTTTTTTATTACTAGTAGCAATTCAATTATTTATTTTGATTTAAAATTTTATAGATTAGATATTTTGGATATTTGTTTCTTTGGATTTTATTTAACGCTTTACGAAATAACCAAAGACCAGAAATTAAAGAATTTATAATGAACACACGCACAAATTGCAGAAGATCAAGGAAATTTAAGAAGGTTCTTTCAAATAATTAACAATATTACCTATTCTTATATTATCAGGACCATCAAGGATCATCAGATAAAACAAATAAATTGATAAATTTATGGTGTGTTACTTATATTGTAACAAAAATATCAAATGTAAATATGTATAATTGGCCATATTATTATTGATTTTTATCACTTTAATAAATTGTCAATATCCTATTCTATAAAAGGTAATAACTTTACTATGTATCTTTATGAGGATTATGTAAATTATCAAAATTGTTTACTTAATAATATTTGATGACGAAATGAATAGTTTTTAAAATGGATATTTCATTATTCATAAGTTTCTATAGAGGTTGCTATTTCTCTTTATATATATTTGTTAATAAAGTTTATATTTAATTGTTATTACAGTGTACTTATTCTTGATTTCTTTATTGAAATATAAATTTTTATTATGAATAATGTTAATAAAGCATTAATTATCTTTAAATAGAGTATTTATCGTTTAGTTGACCATGATATAAAACTCGGTTAATATACCATATAGAACTCCCAATTGTCAAAATAGATGTCACAAACACAATAAATACTCAAGACCATTTCTATCCTTCAGAGTACAGATTGAATTATATCCTCTTAAATATCAAATTAATTAATTAAAAAAAAATTGTAAAATTTTAAGAGTATATTAATTTTCAAATTTTCTCTTTTCCTATTTATTGGAATTAGTTGAGCAAAAGGTGTTATTAGCAAACGTGAAAAATCTCAAAGGTAAATCTTAATTTATTTTTATAAAGAAAAAAAAAATTTTTTATTTAATTTTTATTTTTCAAATAACAATGAGTAAAGTGCATAGAATTATTTACGGCATTAAGTAACTTGAAAAAAATTTATCGAATGAATGAAAAAAGAAAAGAAGTGAAAATACGAAAACAAATTAAATATCTGTCTGATTGTACTACGTACATTTCTGTTATATTTTTTGTTATGATACATTACGTCAATTTTCTACGCCTCTCGACTTAAATATTGTAGTACAAAAATTTACCGTGTAACGATCATCCATTAAAATCATATAAATAAGGTGAAGCTCAAACTTTTAATTTTTGCGACTTTTTACAAAAATGTCTTTAAAATTTTTGACTGAACTATCTGACGATTATAAAAATCTTTTTGAGTCAGAATTTGGATATGACGTTATCATTTATGCAGGAGAAGAACCAAACATTAAAGAAATCCATGCACATTCAAATATTTTATGTATAAGATCTCAATATTTTCGTTCTGCATTTTCTAATGAATGGGCCGAAAAAAAGGATGGAAAATTTATCTTTAAGAAACCAAATATTTCACCACATTTATTGGACATCATTCTAAGGTAGTAATAATACAACTTAAAAAAGAAATATATTTTTGGTTTAAAGGATTTAATAATTATTCTATTTTTAGATTTATTTATTATGGAAATATTGAATTAAATAATTTACAAGGTACAGATGTATTGAAATTATTGATAGCTGTAGATGAACTTAATATTCAATCATTGATTACTTATATTCAAGAATTTTTAATTAAGCATCAAACTGAATTTTTAAATCAAAACCCATCCGGTGTTCTTGAAACTGTTTATCATCATGAAGCGTTTACAGATTTATGGGATTTTTTTCTTGAAGAAATTTGTAAAGAACCCAAGATTTTATTTAATTCTGATAATTTTGTTAATTTAAAAGCTCCTTTATTGGAATTATTGTTAAAAAGAGATGATTTGGATATTGAAGAAGTTGAAATTTGGGAAAATTTATTGAGGTGGTGTTTTAATCAACAAAATATTGAGAATGATCCAAAAAAATGGAATAAAGATGATATTATAAAAATCGAGCGATCATTACATAGATATGTTCCATTAATTAGATTTTATGATATTGAACCTGCAGATTTCTTTTACAAGGTTTATCGTTATAAAGATGTTTTACCACTAGATTTAATTAATGATCTTTTAGAATTTCATATAGTTCCTAATATGAAACCTAAAACTGATATAACACCATCAAGGAGATTATGTTTAAAAGTTGATTCAACATTAATTGAACCTAAACACATCACACTTTTCGCTTCATGGATTGATAGAAAAGATTCTTCAAATTATTATAATTTAAAAAATAATCCTTACTATTTTAAATTATTACATAGTTCAAATCAAGATGGTTTTAATACTGAATCATTTCATAATAATTGTGATAATAAAGGAGCTACTATTTGGGTAGCAAAAATTCAAGGTTCAACACAGTTAATTGGAGGATATAATCCACTTGATTGGGAAGGAAATAAATGGAAAACAACTTCTGATAGTTTCATATTTAATTTTACAGATATAAAAAATAATTCTACAGTAAAATATTTAGGTTATGTTAATCAGAAACTTTTTGCTGTTTATTGTGGTAATGAATATGGACCTAAAATGGGTTATCTAAATAGTTATAGTTCGAAAAATTGGACTAATAATAATAATAATAATGGAAGTCATATCTATCCTAATATAGGTATTCCAGACAAATTTACAGTAGAAAATTACGAAGTATTTCAAGTAGTTAAAAAAAAAAAATAATTAAATAAATTAGTTTTAATAGTTCAATAGCAAATTTTTTTTTAATTTACTGATAATTATTTAGCATGAATAGTTATTATTTCAGTATTAAACTTTTTTATCATTATATCAAAAAAGAAATTAAAAAAAAAAATATCAATGTTTTATGTCTAAGTAAATTTGATTTTTTCTAGTTTATCAGTTACATGTAGTAGTGCAGGCATTTGAAACTTTATGGTTACACTGTTACATTAACTTTTTTAGTGAACTTCAGTGGCGTCACATTGCCATGTGACTTCGTAACATCAAATACGCAGTAACATCTCTTACTCATTAGAAACAAATGATCATAATATGGAATTGTGGATTTGATTTAGTTAATAATGTTTTAAATAGATTAGAAGAATAAACCAAAGGAAGTAGTAAGCACGATAAAGGAAAATGGATAAAGATATATATTTTAATACGCAAGAATGACGGACGCAACTTGAGATACGTCACTAACAAATATACAGGTGTGAAGGTCTCTCTAACGAGCTACTGAATGAACACAAGGCAGTCCTCTCCAGTGTCTCTCCACAAAGTGGGCTTGGTTTTAGGCCTATTTTACACCCCTAGTTACATGAATGAAAAATGTACTTTCAAATATTTTTGCTTTGCAATATCTAAAGAACGGCTGAGAAAAGATGGAATTTTTATTTATTTATTTTGATCTAGAGTAGTAACACAGAAGTACATCCAAAAAAAACTTAACAAAAGTTTAAAAGACGACAAAATTACAGTGACTTCACTCCATACGGGGCCTACTCACGATTGGGCACTATTTAAAGCTGGAGAACTACGCTACAGCCCAAATGAAATAAAAAAAATAAAACGAAAAGAAATAACAAACTGGGGCCTGGAATATGACAGAAAAAAACGGGGATGGAAAAAAGCGGGAGCTAAAAAAAATAAAAAAACCAAAGGACACCGAAAAAAAATAAAAAAGAAATTAACTAAAAAAAACAAAATCATCATCCTACAAAAACCCCTAAACGCTCCTAAAACATCAAACATAACTGCCTTGGGTCCTACAAAAAAGAAAGGTGCCACGTGGTTAATCAAAATTATAATGAAACGTTAAAGACACCTTCTCTATGCTATATTAGGAATTGTACTCGCTCATTAAAAAGATTCAACGTGTATCATCAGTCTTTTGTTGAGTTTTGGATTTATTACGCGAACGAGTCGAAGACTTGAGCTTATTGCCCAAATTCTTCTCTTTGCTTAGCGGCGAGTTTTTCTTTCTGTCTTTATCAGACTTACGAGGTGATTTGGTGGGAGGCGCTGATACGGTCGACTTCCAATGATACTTGGCCTCCAAACAACGTAGGAGGTCTTCAGAAAAAGATGGAAAACTTATTTTAGGAACTAAATGTTTCATCAATGTTAATATTATTCGCAAGTAATAAAATTCTAATAGCTGTCTCATAAAATCAGTTTCAAACCTATAATTAATTCCTGATACTGGATAGACCGTATAATATAATCAATTAATTGTCTTCTGCAATTTTTTACTTACTGCATCATATCATCTTATTAGTCCGTAGGACTATATGTTTTGTCGATGATCACACAAAAAATTTCCGTCTGTCCGCCGCAATTTTATGCAACGCGCCAGTAACGCGTACCTCCTATTATGTAGGCATGTTTTGATTATTTCTTTTTGTAAAAATGGCCGTGGGAGGGGGGGGGGTCTTTTGTATCTTTGTAGAAACACCGATTTCATCAGGCCCAAGGTAAAATGAGAATTTGGAAGAGTTTTTTTTTAATTAAGAAATGTTTAAAAAGCATTTCTTTCCTTGTGAAAAAAATAATAAATTTATTGGCTGCCAGAGTACAATTATTTAACCTTTGATAATGTGACTTTATTGACTTTTGTACTATTGCTATTAGCGATATTGTTTTTATTTAACGAACAATTTCAAATAGTTTGTTTTTTTATTTTTTTTTAAACGGCTCGGTTTTTTGGGTATTTAGGCGTATAGGAATATGGTAGGAAAATTTTTTTCTTAATTGTTTACAGTACTTTAATGACACGTTTCTAACGTTTCAGATTTCAATTTTTCTTTTTTTTTTAGATGTCTGATCTCTGGACGCGTGGTATTTTGGTGGGAATCACAAATTTATTTTTAATTTATTTCTTTTGGAAATTCAGTATGGAATTTTTTTTGAATAGGTATTTCTTTAATGAAATGAATATTACCTTTTCGTTTTTATCCTATTTAGACGATTTCTTCAAATATCTATGAACATGGATTTCGGCAAGAGTGAAAAGTATTTATAAACTTTCTCTTCAGCGAAACGTTTCCATTTTTATAACTGGATCTTGGACGTGTGGATTTTCAGTGGGTATCTGAATTTTCTTTGATTATATTTCTTTAATGAACATACTACTAACGTTTTAATTTTTCACTTTTTTTAAACGACCGCATTTTTGGACTGTGAATTTTGGTGTATATCGGAGTTTTTCTTTGATTGTTTTATTTAACGAAATGTCTTACTAACATTTTGATTTTTCACTTTTTTAACCGTTATTGTTTTTTTAGACTAACGAAACGATAGAAATTTCAATTATTTATGCAATATCTGATATTGATAAGTGTGTATGTATCAGAACATATTGCAACAAATTTACTCCGACATAAAGAACTAAATATGCGAATTATCTGGACGTAAATTATTAATGCAATTTGTTAATTGACTTCCCTTACAGTATTAGAACAAAAGTATGGCTGCGATTTGCAAAATACGTCATGAATTGTTTATAATTACTTTACTATATTCAATTTTATTACAAGAATTTAAAGCTATATTTATTGATAATTTCACATTTCTATTTTGTCATTAAAGATTTCAAAATTCGATTTATCTGTTAAGTTGTTAATTGTAATTTCTATTTATTCAGTTGAACCATTTATGAATGTTCACTATGTCTTATTATGGCTATTTCGGCTATTTCCTTAGATTATGATGTAATTTGCAAAAAATCTGCCTTTGACTTTAGTAATATTTGAATGAATAAAAATTCACTTCATCTCGCATACGGCCGAGTGCTAGCCCCAGAATTACTTTGACTGCGGATAAACTTCGTGTCAAACCATACCATAAATATGTGAAAAAAAAATATTTTTATTCCCGTATTGATACAATCGACAATCATTTTTTTTTTCATTTTTATATTTAATTCAACTAGAATATGCGATTTGCTGGGGGACTTCGTCCCCCAAATATAACATTTATAATTAAAAAAATTCTTTGATATAAATAAATTGAATTGTTACCGAATAATAAAATTTTATTATAATTAGACCCTATAAAAAATCATGTTTTAATAAGATTTATACAATTTTTTCTTAAAAATAATGTATCTAAACTATATATAAGGATATAGGAAAATGCACAATTCCATATCACAAAAATGCACCAT